TAAGACAAACTAGCGAAAGCCAGGTCAAGGCATTTACATAAAACTAAAAAAGACGGAGACTATAGCAAAAGCCACATCATCTTGGTTTCCCCACCTTTGATTTAACATCTTGTTTTGTACGATCTTACTGTCATTTTTGATTAACCAAATAAAACTCCATTATAGATTGGAGTTACTTTAAAGCTTTATTTCCTAATATCAATCATTAACTGAAGAGCAAGCTAATAGTCAATATGGCGTTCATTAAGCAAACCTAGCCTTTATAGACCCTATTTCAGAATAAATCAAGAGAGATCTGCCGAATTTGATGAAAAGCTACCTTTTGAGGAATTTTCTAGTCATTCCACTTAGTTGTAACTTTCATTTAATAAGAAAATGTTGGTGCAAGAGATTCTAAAACAGAAACCAAAATAAAGTTTCCTTTTAATTCTGACTGCTGATCTAAGAATACAAGTACCAGGGTTAGAGTTCGAGAAAGTTTTTAAAATAATAGTTATCGGGCAGGATAAACAGGCGATCAAATTAAAGGGATTAGGTCAAACCACTTCTTTAAGCATCTGGTCGAGGTTTAAAAAATAAAATTTTGATTTGATCCTATTAACTCATGTTTCATTTTAGGATCTACCTTTTATCCATGACTTTTTTATATAATTACTTTTACAAATGTCTTAAGAAATTAATTTAATAAACATCCGAATTCCTTGTGATGAGACGAATATGTTTAAAGCGAAAAGGAGAATTATCGATATGTACACTGCAGAAAAGTATTCCAGGAATTTCTAGCTTTTGGTGTCCTTGGAGGCCTTTAATAAAAAATTTAATGGACTCTCTTTTCGGATAAGTATAAGATAAAAATCGAAGATATGAAGACCAGGATGGTGTGGCCTTTTGTATGGTAGCGGTCTCCTTTTGTTGTATAGAAGTTGTTTGACCTTGTTTTTGCAACTTGGTCATATTGGCAGGAAGACCTAGAGGAATGCACCTTGTCCAGAGTCCATAGTATGTATGATAATTCCCAGAGTCGCACCGTGGACGTGGTACATTCCTAGTTAAGAATGTACTAAGTCCACGGTGCGACTCTGGAAATTATCATAGATACTATGGACTCTGGACAAGGTGCGTTCCTCTAGGTCTTCCTGCTAATATGACCAAGTTGCGAAAACAAGATCAAACAACTTCTAAGATAAAAATGTCGTCAAAAAGCTTAAATAGATTAGAAAGCTAAATACTTCTTCACACCAATAGCTTAAGTTAATAAGACCTAATACAATCAATATTCACTATCCTTAAATAATTCAAGCAAAATTATACTAATGTTTTTAATGTCCGGCCTTGAAAGTAAGGTCTGTTCTGTGATCCACAGGCACCTGTGTCAGTGTGGCGTAGCGGTAGCATGTCTTTGACATGTAATATATACCTCACTGCCCGGATCCAATTCCCGTTAGGGATACTGATGATGGCCAGGCGAGATTGAAACTACATTCCAGTCCAAAATGAGAATAACTTTTATGAAGAAAGGCTAGGGAAAATTCAATGAAATCGCTAGGCGTACTGCCAGGATTGTAGAAAAATCCAACTATGGGTTCTTCAGAATCTTACACGGCCTGGGGTGCCTGAAGCTTTTATCCAAAATAAACTTATATAACATTTTACTCTAAGATGATAGCATTCTAGATGGCCCAGATTCTCATATAAATTAGTTTGGTCAGGTTAGTTAACTGGACTACAGTAAAACTGTCATAGAAACTGGGAAAAGCAGTTTCATGGTCCTCCGACAAGCCTCACTTTGCTAGCCAGAGCTCCAGCCTGATTGACATCGAGAAGAATATGTTCGACAGCAGCTTCGAGAGCCTTGTCCTGGTCGCTGTTTGGCTCGACTAAGGGGAGCAAAAGGGCTCTTTCGTGGCCACCCTCCTTTAGCAGATGTGTCTCAATTTCACTGGTGAAGAAGAGAGCTGAGTACTGCGTGAGTAGAGTGATGGCACAACCAGTGCGACCAGCGCGCGCCGTCCGGCCTACACGGTGCATATAACTCTTAGCCTCCATTGGCACATCATAATTAATCACAAGCCCAACTTGGGGAATATCAAGTCCACTGTGAAGAATAAATAGGAAAACATTAAAAAAACAGATTTAATAACAGGCCCCATGAAAGTAAAAAGTTATATATATATATATAATAGGCAAAGAAAACACACGAAAATTCCAAATAACATTTATTAAAACCCTCATCTCGTCATCCTGAGCCCAGGATATATGTTGCTTGTCAAACGAATACTTTAAAAACTATACTTTCCAAAGTATGATGCCTAGAGATAAGGTACTAATTTTACACGTCAAGAAAAGTTTATATGAAACTTTTAAATAGCAAACCATGAAAATGAAAACACTTCAGTTGCAAGTGCATAGGCTGAGGGGAAAGCCCAAACTGGCCAGATTGAGTTTTGCTAGTAAATCTGTATATGCAAAACTCCGCAATATATAAAGAGAAAATGAGTCTCGAAGAATCCCTTACTAGATGGACACTGAAATACCTTTCATTTCGTTTGATAAGGTAGATGGAAGGGATTCGTAGATTGGCCTCACCAGATACCGAAGGAGGGTTACCTTGGACTTTGACCTTTTAAATTGTGTGAAGAAGACCTCGGTTCACCGTCCTACGATCCCAATGATTCCGTACTGAGCTTTCGTCAGAGCCAAAAACCATTAGTCACGAACAATTCCAAAAAAACCTAAACCACTAAAGGTGACCAGCTGGGATCCTACCTAATTCTTATACCTCACTTTGCGATTTTGATGAGGCATTCCACGATTTGGTTAGCTATTGTATGCCTGTCCTACATGCATATAAGCAGGTCAAAGTGATACAGGAAGGGGAGCGGATGCTGTCACAACTTTTTTATATGTAAATAAAATAGTGTCTGATCCTGTAATCCTGGATCTTGGTTTAGCTTAGTGGATGCGTGTTCGTGTGTGTATGCAACAACCACGAGGTGGTTGGCAATTTTAGGTCCAAAAACAGACTCTGGTGTTTTCAAGTCTTCTTTTAATTAATGGCTCTTCCTGTTCCATTTTCTTCTATCATCTGTCTGTATGTCTCTCTCGCTCTAATTCTATTTAGCAACCAAAGATAGTTCTTACTTAGTTACCTACATTCGTTTCTCTTATTCAGAATGTTTTTATTTTGTTAATTTCAATAGACTCCCTGTTCTTCCACTTATCTGTGAAGTCCCCGTATCCGTTAAAACGTTGGAATTTGAACCACTCTATCTGGTGTCCTGTATTGACATGTTCAGCGACCTCCGATTTCGTTATCCATAAATCTTTGCGGCTGGTTATGCGTTGTGATAACCTTTTATGTATGGATCGACAAGTCTCCCCGATATAAACAGTACCACATGAGCACAAAATCTTATAGCAATCTGATATGCAGAAGGTGTCTTAATTTATTCTCGAATCATACTTATGGTGTTAAAGTAGGAGTAATTTAAACAATGATAATAAGGAGTTTACATATAATGGAATTAAATCATCAGGTACAGGGGTTAGAAAGTCTGAGAAAAATCTTGGCTGAAAACAATTATCCGTTAGGATTAATTATGAAATATTAAAAGATACTAAGAAATAAAGTGAAAGGAAACCATTATTTGGGATAAAACAAGGAATTATAAAATTTTTTGTCCAGACTCCTAATGCTACCATC